GAACAAATCCTGTAGCTGCGCGCCCAAGGGCGGGAAGGAAGGCGCCGATCATGTCTTGCACACACGAATTCCCAGATGACTTGCTGGTGCGTTTTGTTCTTTTGGGCCATTTCAAGTCGATCCTGCGCCTCTTGTTTACTCCGAAATAAGAGCAAATTTATTTATGTCTATTTATTTACTCTGGACTCCATGGAGTCCACGTGTTGCAGCCTTAGGGCGCAATTCTGAACGCGTTTACTCGGAAATCGGGCTCCCTGGGTTCAACGGGACAAAAAAGAATAATTGCCGCTTTGCATAACACACACGCGCGCGCTCGCGCGCCTATTCCGTTGAGTTTTTGTCCTTCAGACCAACAAAAGGGGCGAATAAACGCCAACGGTCGCAGCGCAGTTGATCGCATAACTTCCGAAGAGCGACGGCAGCAATACCGTGCACCATACAGGAATGAATCAAGAGCCTGGACAAGGCGCTGCTTAAAATAGAGCAGGAGAGCTCAGGAAATTAATTATGAGGTCAGATAATCACGCAACCTCAGAAGCCTCGGATGTTAGATTATGTGGCAACAAGAACAGTAATAATGCCTAGGGAGAGGGGAGGTGGGGGTTGATGGCATTTTACGCGGAGCGAAGCCTCGGCAGCGCTACCTGGGATCTGCGCGTTCTTTCTCGTCTCCACCGCCCTTTTCAGATACTCCCGCTGCTAGCACACCTACTGGAACCCCCGCCCCCCCTTTTTATCCCATTTGAGCCCAAACTCAAGCATCCCACCTAAATTCAAAACTCCCCGAGTAAGCCTCGCAGCATCCGCAACGCGCCTTCTCCTCGCTCTCTCCCGCCCGCTTCCCCCGAGTTCTACATTCGCTCCCGCGCAGCACGAGCTGCCCAGAGAAGAATCAGAGACATCAAAAGAGACGCTTCTGGAAACCGCCCCTCCGCCTTTTCTGATAAGATTTGTCCCTTAATTGAGGTTCGATCTGTGGCAGGCGAGCAGGGAATCCCTCTCCGAACGCGTCA